AAAAAATTGTGTAGATCACCGGAAATTTTTCGGAAAATAAACTTGCCCCTTGATTTTTAGGACATGTCACACGACTACTATCGAATAATTAATTATGTCATATCCGCCACGTCCCTAATAATAAAATTTAAATTTTTTTTTTTTCACAAAAAAGATTTTCCCATAATATAATCAACTTGTTAAAATTTACTTTCTTAAAATATAATAATAATAATAAGTCCTTTATTATAAATGGGCACTAATGGTCGTCCAGAAAAAGATTTTGAACATGTAACAGGAACCTCTCGAAGATCACACCAAGAAGATATTTCTGGTAATAGTGAAGTTGGTAGAGATTTTGCTAACAGATATGGGGTAAATATTTATCTTATTATTTAGATCTAGGTTAATTACAAAATTATTTATTATTGGTTTTTTTTGGAAAAAATTAGGGCTTATTTTCTGAAAAAGATTGGAAATGTCCTACGTATGTTTTTATTTTAACAATAATAAAAAATGAACAAAACAAAGAAAACGATATAATTTAAATTAAAAATCAAAAAAACGCAATCATAACCACAATTATTATTTTTAATAGTTGTTCAAATATAAATTGGGCAAGACGTACTGAATGTAATCAATGTAAAACATCAAAACCAGGGTTAGAAACCTCATTGGGTACACGTGAAGGAAGAGGTGGTGGATTTTTGGAACGCGATGAGGTGGTTGAATATAAACAATCAAGAAATGCTGAAAAAGATGATGAATGGGATGAATTTGGTAGAAAAAGAAAGAAAAAGAAAAACTCTAATTATAATAATAGATATAATAATAATTATGATGATGATGATGAGTATGATTATGATGATAATTATGATCGAACAATTACCAAAGAAAAGAGAGCAGCAAAGGAAGAAGAAAAATACGACTATGAAAAACCTAAAGTAAAATCAAAATCTAAAGAATTAATAAAAGAAAAGAAAGATGAGGAAGATGAGGAAGAAGGAGATGATGATGATCGGTGATTGGTTTAACTTTAATAATATTTAATATTTTTCTTTAGATTTTTTTTTTAAATATATATTTTTTATTAATAATATTTTTTTTTTTAATTAATAAAAAATTTTATTGATTCAAAATTTTATTTATATATATATATATATATATATAATATAATATCGATTAAAAAAATTCTTTTTAAAGTTGGGCAGCATGGGATGATATTATTGGAAGTGATAATAAAGGAGAAAATAATAGCATTAACAATAATTACAATAATAGTGGTATTGATGGAAGAGACAATGTAAAATCACATAATGAAAGATCATCATCATCAAAAGAGCATTGGTCAGGTAAATATTCTCGCCGACGTTCTTCACGATCGCAATCTCCATTACCACCATTATCATCACATTACAATGATCATTCATTATCACGAGATAGAAATTCTCACAAAAACAGATCAATTTCTCGAGAACATAGATCATCAGGTCAATCAAGTTCTTGGGACAACCATAGCAACAAACGAAGGTCTAGTATAATAGATGTTCATCATCGTCATAGATCAAAATCTCGATCAAGAGAAAGAAAAAGAAATTCTCATGGTAGTAAATCAAGATCAACATCTAGGAATAGAAAACGATCATACAGATATAGGTCATGTTCACGTTCTAGATGTGTCTGTAAAGATCATCAAGCGCAGGATTTTATCCAAAACCATATATGATTTTTTTGTGATCTGCATACCACGTACAGAATTTCCGAAATTTTACGTAATAGTAAAGAACATAGTAAACATATTGTTTTCAAACCACTATTCCTCTTCTGTTTTCAAAGATATAGGCACCAAATTTCCATGAAAGATAGTATATATAATATAGTTTAGAGTTATGGAAAGATTTAATGGACGTAAAAAATATCAGTGGTGTAAAAAAACTCATTTTAAATACAGAAAATTTCTTTCTTTATCATAATATTTTTATCTATTGCAACTTCCAAAAAAATTGTATGGAATAAAGATTCTCTCTCCATAGCACTGTTCTAGAAATGTCGCCTGATTAAAAATCTCCAATAATTTTATGAATGTAACGATTTTCCAGAAGCTTTAGCGATTGAAAGTTCATAATACTAGTAAAATATGCTGTTTTCAAACCACTACTCCTTCTCCGTTTTCAAAGATATGGGCATCAAATTTGTATACAAGATAGTATATATAATATAGATTAGAGCCGTGGAAAGATTTAATGGATGTAAAAATAACAATGGAGTAAAAAACTCATCCGAAATACAATTTCATTGTAATATTTTTATCTATTCCCAAAAAAATTATGCGAAATAAATATATTCTAATAGATAACTCCCGCAATTAAATTGCTTGAAAGGTTTCTAAAATCTTAAAAATAAAAAAAAACTTTATAAACTTTATATTTATTTTAATATAAAAAATGATACATTATTAAAAAAAAACTTCTTGAAACATCAAATTATCATTATCATCGACGACATTATTATATTGAAACTATCAACCTTTAGTTATATATTAATTGATTTCACATTGAATCAGCAGCTTCAAGTTCCCTATTTATAAATAAATAAAATCAATCATTAGATTTAATAATCATAATTTCCCTTTTTCAATCGAGAATAATATTAATTAGACATATAAACAAACAATAAAACTTAACTTACTTTTCATCATCGTCTTGAACAATATGTTCTTCACTTTTAGAAGGACTTTGTTTAGGACTATTATGAGATTCATCATTCCCATTTCTATCACCGTTTCCATTTTTATCATCGTTTAAATTTCCATCATCGTTTACATTTTTATCATCATTTACATTTCCTTTTTCATTTCCATTTTCATTGGGTGGTGGTGGTGAAGAAGATCGGGAGCGAGTTCTTGACCGAGAATTGTTGTTATCTTTTCCATTATCAGAAGGTGATCTAGACCTTGAATCTGAATGACGATGGCGTGGAGATCGAGAAGGGGAATGGTGACGCCTTGAATGTCTAGGGTGAGGAGATCGTGAACGACGACGATAATCTCGATCATAATTATGATCAGAATCGTTATTCTACAAACGTTTACATTATAAATTTGGGTTGTAAACTAACGTTATTAAAAAAAGAACAACTATGATAACAAAAGAAAATATTTTTATTCACCGATGCTTCATGAAGAATGATGCGTTTTCCTTTTAGTTCTACATTGTCGAGTTTCCTAATAGCATTTTTCATGTCATCATAAGAAGAAAATTCAACAACACTATTATAGGAAAATATTAAAAAAACATTAATTAAAATATGGATTAAAAATAAATAATAAATAAATAAAATAAATACCCTTCACCAATACGATCTTTATGACAATCTGCAAAAGTTACTTCGCCGGCTTTTCGCATTAGGTCCTTAAGATCCTTTTAAATGAATGGTAGAGTAGAGAGAGGTGGAAGTTGAGAATATGGTAAATGGACGATGTTCTTCATAGATGTTAAGATCCCCTAAGACTCTTGTATTAATTATTCCATATAAGAACCAAAATGGAAGGAACAAGAGATGGTGGATCCATAGACAGCAGCAGCAGCAGTGATGATAGTAGTAGTAGTATCAGCAGTAGTAGTAGAAAATAGAAAATGCAAATGGCAACCCAAATCATAGATCGAAATTTAACCATATTTTCGGTAGGAAATATAAAGAATCCTTATTTTTAAATTACTGTGACCCTCAATCTCCTTATTTCCTGACATATAATATTATGTGGTTAAATTTGCATTATACAATAATAATGATTATGATTATAATTATGATGATGATGATTGATTGATTGATTGATTATTTTTTTTTTGAAGGAATATTTATGGAAAAGATATGATAAATAAACCCACAAATAGACATTCTCAAAGAAAAGACCAAAACATCAAGTCAAATTAACCAACCAACCAACGAGAGCATAATAGGGGATAAGAGAGATATATAACCAAATCCAATATCAATCTTGTAGAAAAACCAATAATTATACAAGTGCTGTAGGTACATATATGCACATATATGTATATATGTTTTGAATTTTGGAAAATGTTTGCATACCTGCCAGCTACAACTTGAAGACAAGTTTTCCACAATCAATCTACATTGAGGATTTCTTTGAGGCGGTGCAAATCTATTGATAATACATATTTTTTTTTTGAAAATTAATTAATTGAATATAATAAATATATTAGTAGGTATTAAAAAAAATTTATTTAAACATAATAAACAAATGATTATAAAACTCTTTATGGCTTATACCTTCCACGATCTCTATCATCTCTGCGACGATCATCTCTATCTCTATCTCTATCTCTATCTCGGTCCCTACGATCATCTCTGTCTCTGTCCCTACGATCGTCTCTATCATGTCTTCTACGTTCTCCTCTAGCATATTCAACAATTAATCTATTATTTATTATTAAATTTGTAAAAAAAAAAAATTAATTTTTATCCTTATTAATTAAATGATAAAAATATGAATAAAATTAAAATCATTCCATACTTTTCACCCATAAAACTTTTACCATTAAAGGCGTAAACCACATCATCAGCATCACGATGGTCACGAAACTCTACAAAGCCAAACCCATTCATCAATTTTATTTCTCTAATACTACCATAACCACGAAAAAGTTTTTCAACATCACGTTCACGGGCGTCTCTAGAGAGACGACCAATATAAATCCTGGTTGCCATTTTTTTATGAAATGAATATAAATTATAGATGTGTAATATATAATCCGGGAAAAACACTTCCAAGCAGTTGGTTTTAATTGTATGATTTGATTGGTTGAAATTAATGTTGGGAGAATATCTGCTTATGTTGATATTGATGATAAAATTATTTATTATTCAGAAAATACACATTTCATTCTATTAACTGTTAAAATAATTTGAAAAAAGGTGGAGGTCATAGAAGACCTTTTGCATTTGGTAAATAATATGTTCATTTTAAAAATAATAATTTAAATTAAATAATTTAAATAACTACCAGGATCCATAAAAAATCATACACCTCTACTGCAGTCTGTTTAATATGCAGGTTAGTAATTTGAGAAGTCTTGATAAATGAACACTTTTATTTATTTATTTATTTATTTTTTATTATAAAAGCTAAAAGGTGCATTTATAACGTTAATTATATAACTCTTCAACTTTGGTTGGCTATCTCATAGTTCTAAATAATGTAAAAGATTACTGGACCAAGAGAAGGTATGAATAATGGTTGTGGGTTGATTATAATGGTATTTGATATATATTAGTTATGGTGAATATGTTAACAAATTTAATATTTTATAATATACTTAATATTTAATATTCATTATTAGATAAGAATTGTGTAATAGTTTAATATATCATAGGTAATGAGTAAATAATACATGTATCAAACGAGAAATTGCTTTCATATAATTTTATGGATGGGACATGCTTTTTTCTCAAATTTAACCATTTTGATATGTAATATTTGTTACCATAGGTGTACTTTATTACATATTTTTTCATTGAAACTATAGCAAGAGTTTTTATGCTAATATTTTATAGAATAATTCATTACCAATCATTAATAAAAAATGTTGCTAAGGACCTTCTTTTTTTATTGTCTTGAAAGTATATTAAAAGCAATCTAAAATTATCCAATCAATTTCTTTATAGATCAACCAATCACGCCATGTTTAAATTTCTTTATTATTAATAATCCGAGTCCCGTGCAACTTTTTTACGCGTAACTTGTTTTGCTTTTAGTTCAATGCCCATTAAACTAGACTTGTCAGTTAAGTCATATTTTGAGAGTACACCCATTATTATGGTCATATTTGGGTTTTCTAAAGACATTAAAATCTTATTGCATCTTGGAAGAACATTCGATGAACGATCCAAAATCCACTTGGAGGAAGCGATATATAGGGCGTCCTCAGAAATTAAAATCTGATTAGATTAAGATTAGGGTTGTGTTGGTCCGGTCTCGGTTCCAAAATACCGGTTTTTAGATGCAGTCTTTAGGACTGGTTAAAGATTGTTTAAAGGATTTTGATGTGAATCACATATTGCAAGTAGCCTTTTGGTCAATTTATTTTATTTTACAAATTTGTCCTGCTTACTACCTAGAAGTCATATGTAAAGAATAATTATAAAAGAACAAACAAATGAAATTTTGATTCTCAAATGCTTGCTATTGTAAGCCATATATTGATAGTTGGTATAATTATTATATTGCTATTTGATTTTAACAAGAATAGATACAGAGAAAATATATCCTTAATAAAATTACAAATCAAATTGTTCATAAATACTAGGAATACAAACAATCAATTTAAACTAACATCAAATTTGCCAATACAATTTAAGGTTGGATTGGAAAATCTTCCAACATGTTTAAGAGATTTCATTAACACATCTCAAAAAGTGGGAATTGATGTAGATAATTTATCTACTATTTCAATATTTAAGAAATTACATTTTCCAGATGGTACAATTGCACGCAGTGATAATTCATGTCTGTTCAAATTTGTTGATGCACTATCTTTTTGATTATCATATTATCAACCACTCTGAGCAGAATCAAATAGACCCAGTTAACAAAATCTTTACAGATGATGAGACAATTCTTGGAATTTAATGATGAATAAAAAAGAGACACAATTTTTACAATTGCATGGAATAGTCATCTTTATGTATCTTTTCATTTGAAATTGATAATCATGAAATTTAGAAAACCACATTTGACATTATAAAATCATCATTCATGTTATATTTATTAAATGAATTGTCTCTTTTTTGTTACTATTTGCTCACTTTTTATTTATTTATTAATTATTTTAGATGGACATTTTAGAAACATTTTAGAGTCAATTTTAGAGTCAATTTCATTTATATTTACATGAAAATAAATATTACGAATAGGTTATCATCATTAATTATATTATATATACAATTCACTCTTTCTAAGCAGGATCACCATATATATAACAAACATCTGTATAGTGAATAATGGCACAAATAATACATATAGCCAAATAAATATTTTTATTATTAATGAATGATTTGACTAAGAATCTGACATAGCTTTTTTTCTTGTTAATAATGAATGGTAGTAATTTGTTTCAGGAATTAACTCTGCTAATTCATTGATTAAACTCCTTACTTGTTCATCATCTATTGGCTTACAATACTTTTTATTATGATTAAAGGAAAAAATATTGTTATAATATATTTTATTATATAAATTCAATTGCTGCTATATAAATAAATAAACAAATACCTACCAATTCAAAGATCCAAAGTTGATAATTTAATGCAAAACATTTTTGTTTTGTTAATTGTTTAACAATTCCATTATCAAGTCCTTTTCCAACAGCAATAAATTCTTCATCATCATGATTTTTATTGCCTTCTAATAAATTGTTTGATAGCATGTTGTTGATCTTGTTAACACAATGATTTGAGAAATTTAATTCATTATCAAAAGTTGGAGAACAATTAATAACCTCAATGTCAGCATCATCTTCATTCATCTCATTTT